TACTCGTCCTCCACTGGTTCAAAATCTTTGAGTGTTTCTTTTTTTCTGCTAAACACAAAAGCTCCTATTGAGCTCCATAGCATTATTTTCCCACTATGAAAGTCAAGGGGGACCTTTTTTTTTTCTTTTTAAATGAGTCAGCCTTAGTCGTACCGCGATGACGGAGTGCCCCTCGAATACATCCTTCATAGGATGCAGCCTCTCAAATGAGACACAGCTTATGATTTGTTTTAATTATTTAGCCTAAAATGTTTACTGCTCCAAAATAATATTTTTTTCCTAAAAAAAAAACATTTTGTGTTAAATGGGGGAGGGAAAGCTGTTGTTTATAACCCTGACATTTAAAATAACTTATTTTAAAGCGGTAATCACAATACCATAAAAACTTTTATCCAAGGTTTTCATACCATCAGAATGTTATACCGATCCATCCCAAGCAGTAAGTGCCAAGGAAATACATTTGCCCACCTTCTACGTAACGGTGCCCCATGGTTTCACGATCTTTCTTCACTGCAATTTTGAGATCTTCCTCCGATTCAAACTCGACAAATGCCTCTCCACTTGGACGACCTTCCCGTGTGTATGTGAAGTGTATGCTTGTCCCATTGCTTGCAATTTTGCACTCTGAAATGCAGATAGAAAGTTAAACACGCAGGGAATAAGAGCAAAACATGGGAATTTACTTTTATTTATTTTATTTTATTTTTTACCTGAGAAAAACCTCTGAACTTCATCAACAGAGCAGGACCAAGGTAAACCTCTGACTCTCACCACAAAACCTTCTCCATCCGCCATGCTGGAAGCAACCCTGTTTAAACACAAAACACACAATAAATCAATTTATAATACAGTACTAAACTTGCTTTTATGTTAGCTTTATGCAGACACTTATTGTGTTTATATTAAAACACTATCACTGCATTTGGTGAACTATTCAATATATACACCCAAAAACAAAACATGAACCGAAATGTCAAGTCAAAAATATCTAGTATCTCCATTATAAAAGAAGAAACTACTGTTTAAATGCTAAACCAATCAACCATGTATGTAAACATTCCCTATTCAGTCAAAACGAACACACAAGATAATCCCATTATGCATTACATACATAGTTGACAGTAAATAATCACATTTACATAATAAATAGCGGCTATTTTGCATAACTGTGGAAACGAGATTGTTAGCTTAGCGAGCTAGCTGAGCCCCCTTACCTTGTATTAAACCCCCCTCAAAGACGCTTCGTCACTTCAATCAATGCCAGGTGATGTTCTAATGAGGTGATTCACTACAGTATTTCTCGTGTGTGTCTGTAATGTGTAAAATAATAATAAAAACGAAAGGCTGAACAGTGCTCACACACGATAATCGTCGCTGTTTACTGGATTGGGGAACTAAAAGTTGCGTTTGTCGACACCTGCTGTTTGGGATGTGAAACTGCAGCACTCTAAATCTATATGACACACACAACTAAATTTAGTGTGCTATATTATTTTAGTAGCCTACATGAAACCGCCATACTATACATTTCTGTATTTATGCACCAAACCAATAAATAAATGATGTTACTCTTTCCACAAATTTAGTTCAAAACAAATCTTTTACAAGCGTAAACAGCTGTATTACTGTGTTGATTATTTATATTCTTTATTTTTAATATCAATATAATGCCAAGAGTTTAAACAAATAGATCAATAGTTTCTCTTTTCTTTTTGAAGAGTATACATTGAATTGCTAAAAAGAGGTGAAATCACAGTGTTTAAACTGTATAGCCAAGTGTTCGGTAGCTTAGCAGTAAAATAAACAGAAATAAACAACTACAGCAGTAAATAGGTCATGTAAAATTAGCTTTGAGGTCAACAGACAACATTTTTCTGAAGGTTAAGCCCCTTCACAGCCATTTGAAGTATTTTGTTTTTAAATCCAACTTTAATGGAAGCTAATTTCTTGCTTATAATGTTTTGATACTTTTGATATAGCCTAAATATAATGCTTTGAAATATCATCATTAAAAAAGTCATAATTATGATATGATTATATTTTTTATACCTGTTTTGCTTCTACAAAATGCTTTAAAATGAATTTAAATGACAAAACAGAGTCAACTTTAATCACTAGTAATGAAGAAGCTAAAATATGTAATATATAGTCAATTTAAAACTATATAAAAAGATGATTAAATTTAAATTATGAGAAAAAATTTGTTAAAGAATCACAGCCTTTTAATTTCTACTGGGACAAAATGCTTAAAAATGCATTAAAAATGACAAAAAGAGTCAACTTTCATCAGTAAATAACATGCTAATGCTAAAAATGTGTAATATAAGGTAAGTTTAGAAAAATAAAAAGATGATTAAATTGAAATTATGAAAAAAAAATTGTTAGTGATGCACAGCCTTTTGACTTGTACTGCTACAAAATGCTTTCAAATTCATAAAAACGACTAAAATGGTCAACTTTGATCACTAATAATTAAAAAATGCTAAAAATATATGTGATATAAGTCCATTTAAATATATGAAAAAGATTGTTAGGTTAAAACGATGAGGAAAAAACTCATAAATACGACTTAATAGTTCACATTATTTCATTATCATGACTTTAAATGATAATAAGCAATTTTATGTGCCATAAATGCAGCATGTTTTTGGCATTGATTATGTTATTCATTCATTTTCTTTCAGCTCGGTCCCTTTATTCATCAGGGGTTGCCACAGCGGAATGAACAACCAACTATTCCAGCATGTTTTACACAGCGGATGCCCTTCCAGCTGCAACCCAGTCCTAGGAAACACCCAATACACTCTCACATGCACATACATACACTACGGCCAATTTAGTTCATCCAATTTACCTATAGCGCATGACTTTGGACTGTGAGGGAAACCGGAGCACCCGAAGGAAACTCCACACCACTGGGAGAACATGCAAACTCCACACAGAAACGACAACTGACCCAGTCAGGACTCAAACCAGTGACCTTCTTGCTGTGAGGTGCTATCCACTGAGCCATTGTGTCACCCAGTGATATAAATATGTTTAATTTCTCCAACAAAATGCTTTAAATTGACAAAAAAATAGTCGACTTTGCTCACTAATAATAAAAAATGCTAAAAATAGGTCATTTAAAGTACGTTTAAAATATTAAACGATTATCAAATTAAAATTACGAGAAAAATAGTTACAGAATCACAGCTTTTTGATTTCTACTGCTACAAAATGTTTTAATATTCATAAAAATGACTAAAGGTCATCTTTGATAACTAAGAAAACAAATATCTACTGCGACAAAATGCATTAAAGTACATAAAAATCACTAAAAGGGTCAACTTTGATCACTAAAAATTAATAAATGCTAAAAAAAATAGAAAATAGAAAAAAAGTCTGTGCCGATGCAGTGGCGTAGGATGTAGTGCTGTCGCCTCACAGCAAGAAGGTTGCTGGTTCGAGCCTTGGCTGGGTCAGTTGGCGTTTCTGTGTGGAGTTTGCATGTTCTCCCTGTGTTCGCGTGGGTTTCCTCCGGGTGCTCCGGTTTCCCCCACAGTCCAAATACATGCGGTACAGGTGAATTGGGTAGGCTAAATTGTCCGTAGTGAATGAGTGTGTGTGGATGTTTCCTAGAGATGGGTTGCAGCTGAAAGGGCATCTGCTGATTAAAAAAGTGCTGGATAAGTTGGCGGTTCATTCCGCTGTGGCAACCCCAGATTAATGAAGGGACTAAGCCGAAAAGAAAATGAATGAATGAATGAGATTGTGGCGACACGGTGGCTCAGTGGTTAGCACTGCCACCTCACAGCAAGAAGGTTGCTGGATCGAGTCCTGGCTGGGTGTGTCAATAGCATCTGTATGCAGCCTTTATGATGCAAGCTGAGATTGCATTACTCAGCGATGCACTGTCAGACACAATGCACTCAAATGGAGCGAGTGACGTCACTGTGATGAGGAGGGTTAGGGGTGGGGTTAGCTGAGCGCATTAAAAAGCATTGCACTGCACCAGGTCTGCATTCAGACCCCTCTCGGGTCAGTTGGCATTTCTGTGTGCAAGTTTGTATGTTCTCCCCTTGTTTCCTCCGGGTGCTTCTGTTTCCCCCACAGTCCAAAGACATGCACTATATTGGTAAACTAAATTGCCTGTAGTGTGTGAATGAGTGTGTATGGATGTTTCCCAGTATACTGGGTTGCAGCTGGAAGGGCATCCGCTACATGCATACATATGCTGGATAAGTTCATGGTTCATTCCGCTGTGGTGACCCCAGATTAATAAAGAAGGAAAATAATTGAAAAAAGATTGTTAGGTTAAAATATGAGGGGAAAAATCACAGCCTTTATTAAAACTCATAAATTTCTCTTGATAGCTCATATTTATTTATTATTATGACTTTAAATATGATAATAAGCATTTCTATGTGGCACAAATGCAGCATGTTTTGGTGCATTGTCATTGATTATGTTATTTAATAATTTTCCTTTGGCTTAATCCCTTTATGCATTAGGGGTTGCCACAGTGGAATGAACCGCCAACTTTTGCAGTATATGTTTTACACAGCGGATGCCCCTTCAGTGCAACCCAGTACTGGGAAACACAGAGAACATGCAATATCCACACGGAAACGCAAACTGACCCAGTCAGGATCGAACCAGGGAATTTCTTGCTATGAGACAATCGTGCTAACCACTAAGCCACCCTGATTACGTTATGGTTGGTGAAACTAACAAATTAGTGACTGCATGGTTTCAATTACCATGTGTTTTGGTTTTATTTGCAAAAAAACTATGTTTAATTTTCAGAAGGGTGGGCTTCCCAATCCCATATATTCCTGGAAAGTCATTTCAATAGAATACTTGGCAGAACATTCGTTAAAAAAAAAGAAAACTCAAGATCTGGCAACCCCGCGTGTTTCACCGCCTGTTTTTGTTGTTGCCCAAGTCTCGTATATCACATGATGCGAGTCACGTAGTCTGCGCTGTTGTTAAATAGCGCTCAGCACAGGCGGACAGACACTCACACATACATACAGAGAGAGAGAGAGGGAGAGACAGACGGACATCACGAGAGCAGCACGCTAAAAATACCCCTGACTTTTTTTTCTTATGTTTTTAAAACTTTGTTGAGCTTATTTTGACCTGAAGTAGCACACCATATAACTAGACGCGTGTTGCAGAGCGCTTATAATAAAACAACATCCGTGCCTAAGAAGAGTTTAAAGCGCATTTTGACGCACGATGTCCACAAACACGCAGCAGAGCAAGAGCTGTCCCATCCCCACGCGGGTCCTGCACCTCAAAGACTGGTCTCAGCTGCCGGACTGCTACAGTCAGACCCCCGGGGGGACACTCTTCTCCACCACACCTGGCGGTAAGACCCACTCTCACTATGACTGAGGGAAAGTTGCTTTACATTCACACATTCGGACTTTCTCCTTAATATAATTTCAGCAAAGTATTACTTAAAAATTCTAAATAGGTAAAGCATATTATCAGCCAATGACTATCAAAGTACAACATCGTTTAAAGTCAATTAAATAGTGCCAATGCTGTTCTGAAGTGGTATTTACATGCTATTTTCACACCGAGTATTCAAATTAGTGTAGTAAACAATATACAGACCGTTAAACTTGACGAATGTGCACATATAAAACCAGTTTTACCTCAAGTCTCACTACTGACTAAAGGAAAGTTGGTTTTATATTCACACATTCGTTCATTTTTGAACTGAAAGACAACATGACGACACCACGCCACGTCGAATACTTGTTTGAAATGGCATGTAAAATGATCTTAAAACAACACTAGCTCTATTTAAATGACTGAGCAATGTTGTGCTTTATGAACAAATAGACAAAAAGGGTAACATACATAAAATTCCAGCAAATTGAACAAGAACGATTTACATCGAGACAGTTTTACATGCAATATAATTGTTAGTTTTTTTTTTTTAAAGTTCACATACAAATCAAAGTCTTTTCTGAAAATAAAAAGTAAGGGTGTTTCTTTGAAAATTTACATTTATGGATGTAAAATTTAGCCCCCAAAAAAGCAATAAATTAATAATAAATTTACAATGAGAAGGATCTACATTCAGAGAGTAACCAAATAATAAAATATTTGGGGAGATATAAAAGTTTGGAAATAAGCATTGAAAAAGTCAACCCAAAAATACTTTACAGTAAGTGCACTCCCTAACTAATGATTTAGTGTTTCATCATATCGAGTACAGAATGAGCATTTAGGGGAAATATTGTTATTAAACTTAGCTAGTTTGGTATTTATTGGGTCGCAATTGTGAAAGATTTTTTCGGAAGAAGCCAAAACTGATCCCAATCCAGGTCACTAAATATATTATTCCAAAAACCTATGCAAGCAGGTAAAGAGATCCGAGAACTATTAATAACCAAGCGAATATATTTGTTTGACATAAAACTGAGAAGAGTTTGGTCAACAAAAAGGTTTGTGTTGTCAAAAATCTAAAGCACCTTTGGGGCCAGATTTGACTAAAGGTATAATACAGCCAGGGATTGCACCAAAAACTATGGCATATTCTTTGGGGAAGGAGAAATTGCTAAAAAAAAAAAAATTACCTCAGTCTTTCACTGAGTTTGGTTACTGTTATTATTGCGTGGTCAACACGTGCTTATAAATATATAAATTATAAATTTTTTATAAATTATAAATATATAAATTTTCAACAAAAGAAAGAAAGAATCTAGAAAAGAATTGAAGAAAAGTGTATACAGCTAGAGGTTTTATGTTTTGACATCACTTCATTTGTTTTTACCCAATTCCATTGGTCCAACATAAGTATAAGTCTAAAATCTTATTCATAAAGGTCTTAATGTCTTAAATTTGACTTGATGAAACCTGCAGAAACCCATGTCATAAAATTTCCACAGTACATCATGCCCTGTTTTACACGCATTTTAAGAAACCAAAACATCCTGGTAATTTGAATTAATTTCCAATAATTAAACACTTGGCAATCATATCCAAAATTGAAAACACGGTTAACACTTCAATATCGTATAATATGCAATAAATTAATTCAGAACATGTGTACTGTTGAAGTCAGAATTACTAGCCCCACTAAATTATTAGACCCCCTGTTTATTTTTTCCCCGATTTCTGTTTCACGGAGAGAAGATTTTTTCAACCCGATTCTAAACATAATAGTTTTAATAACTCCTCTCTAATCACTGATTTATTTTATCTTTGCCATGATGGCAGTAAATAATATTTGACTAGATATTTTTTCAAGACACTTCTATACAGCTTAAAGTGACATTTAGGGGCTTAACTAGGTTATTTAGGCTAACTAGGCAGGTTAGGGTAATTAGGCAAGTATTGCATAATGATGGTTTGTTCTGTAGACTGTCGAAAAAAATTGCTTAAAGCGGCTAAAAATTTGTCCTTAAAATGGTTATTAAAAAAAATAAAAAACTGCTTTTATTCTAGCCGAAATAAAACAAATAAGACTTTCTCCAGAAAAAAAAATATTATCAGACATGCTGTGAAAATTTCCTTGCTCTGTTAAACATAATTTGGGAAATATTTAAAAAAGAAAAAAATATTCAAAGGGGGGCTAATAATTCTGACTTCAACTGTATGTACTGGGCAGTAAACCAAGCTGTGACCCGACCAAGCAAAACTCCAAACAAATGTTGCTAATACATGTTTTTCACTCCTCCACATTCCTTTTTGTTGTGCACAACAAGTTAATCATTGCATGCCTGCAGTAAGATAGCCCAACTGCCATGCTTCTTATGTAACAAAGTGTCTGTTTATCTGATTTGCATCTCGCATGGCGCTAAATTGATACATTTCAATCATTCAGTTTATCTAATCGAGCGAAAAACAAATGATTGACCCCATTGCTGTACGGGCCGTGTCTCCTTTGTCCCCTAGTTTGGCATGTGTCTGTAACTAGCACATGGAGAGGAGGAGGCAATTCTTAGAAACAGGCCGCCTCCTCCTCCTTCACAGCTGCTGTGGTGGATTTCAGGAATAACAGGACTCCATGTGCTCTGGAATAGAGGTTCATTGGGGCCACTATATCGTCATGAATGGCTCCAGCAGGATAGAAAGCTGAATAACTGATCCGAGGCATGCAAATATACGTCTATATATATGTGTTTGGGTGTGTATAGACCGTAAACGTGTGGAGACTGTGAAAGCATGCGTGTGTGTCTGTTTATAGACTGCGTATCTCTGCCAAATATGTGCCCAGATTATGTTTCTCTCCACAAAACAAAAGTTAGGACACTCTGTTATTCCTTCTACATAATGGAATATATTATATGAACATTTATATAAGTATTCACTCAAAAAATATTTTGCTTTGCCGTTCTTCAAACTTATTTAAAATGAGCTTTAACACAATTCTCACGATTTTTAAACATGTTAGTCAACTTAATCGGTTTGTGTTGAGAAAAAATTAAGGAATTGAGTGGAAGACAACATTTTTTACTGTATACAACACTACAATTGCTGTAAAAAAATGCTGGGTTCCACACAATTCTTTCAGGTTATCTCAAGATAAATCCTTATTTAACTTACAATTTTTAATGTTAACCTAATCGTCTTTTTGTTATATTTATTTATTTTTTTACAAATTTGAAGTGGATTCAACATAAAATAATTTGGTGTTGTCACGTTACTGGAATTCGATACCAATCGGTACCGATCATTTAAAAACGTCTATTTCCCGCTAACATTTGAGCGCGTCCTTAAGGCTGATATATACTTCTACATCAAGCTCCCGCACATGGTCCGGTGCAGCCTTTATGTGGTTGCATGGCTGTGATTGACGCATATGCAAATGCGCACCTCTCAGAAAATGTAACTACACATTGCAACGACGCTTCGCACAAGCTCTGTAATTTGTCGGCTTGGTAGCGGTGACAAGTATGAGCGGTGCTGAGAGCTGCAAGCCCAAGTGTCGAGTCCCGTGATGGAGCTTCAGATTAGGTTTCTCTACACAAAACAAAGAGGAAATAAATACATTTACAATACTCTACTAGTCCTTCCACATAATTAAATATATTATATCTTCATTTATAAAAAAATATTTTGTTTGCTATAACTACTTATTTAAAATGAGCTTAAACACAATTCTCACGATTTTTAAACATGTCAAGTCAACTTAATCGGTTTGTGTTGGGAAAACATTAAAGAATTGAGTGGAACCCAACATTTTTTACTGTATACAACACTACAAACACTGTAAAAAATGCTGGATTCCTCACAATTCCTTCAGGTTATCCCAAAACAAAAACTTATTTTAACTTATAAACTCAAGTTAACTTAATAGTTTATTTTTTATTTTATTTTTTTTTTACAAATTTTAGTGGATTCAACAAAATAATTTGAAGTTGTCACAAAACTGTAATTCGATACCCATGAGTACAAAAATTTTTAAAACGTAAATTTCTCGCTAACATTTGAGCGCTTTCTTAAGGCTGATTTATACTTCTGCATAAGCGCACATGTATGGTCCGGCACAGCCATTCCACGGTCGCATAGCCTTGCCGTGGCTGAGGCAGACGCTGATGTGTACCTCTCAAAAAATGTAACTACACATCGCAAAGATGCTTGGCGCGAACTCTGCGATTGTTCGGCTTGGTAGCTGTGCGAAGTGTGGGCAGTGCTAAGAGCCATGAGCTCATTGGAGCGGTTTACAAGCATCAAGTCCCATGAAGGAGCTCCAGGTGTTTAATGTTTACCTCATGATTAAAGTTGTTGCACGTCCGCCAGTTTCCCACCTCTGAATGAGCAAGCTTTAGCTACGTTTAAGGTAGCGTTCAGAAAAAACAAAACACCAGCAAAGAAACTAACACAGAGAAAAATAAACACCTACTGCCAGCTAGCGTTTTGGAAGTGTTATTGCAGAGTTACACAAACAGCATGCAGAAGGGTAAATCCACGACTGCGCACAAGGCTGGTGCCATTGCTCGACGCAGAAGTTTATACCAGCCTCTAAATATTTAAACAGCCATTGTGTTCATGCTCAACAGAAATGACTATGATTGGCAATAAACACAATGGCAAATCATTGCTGTTTAAGAACGCGGTCAAACGTCTGTGGGAAATGGACGTTTTTAAAATTTCAGTACGGATTGGTATCGAATTCCACTATCGTAATAAAACTAAAACAAGTAGGCGGTCCCAAAAATAACTTCACAATTGTGTTTTCAACTTTTATTGTTGCATACATTTAAAAACGTCTATATACATTTTTTATTATTAGTAATACAATTATCCATCGTTAATGGCGAGAGTTGCGTTCTAAAAATCACCCACAATTGGTGAAAACTTGCAAAGATAAAGTCTTATAATATCGAAGAATTATGTAAATTTGGCAAG